CCCTTTTTTTCTTTAGCCCTTTTTTTCTTTAGCCCCAAGTTCGGGCGCCAGTAACTAATATGATTAGTTAGCACATGTGATAGAACCTGTCCAGGAAGACAATTCTGGCCATTTATTAGTAGGGTTTATTGTTTCATATTTGTCTTTAACGGCATATTTGAATGTTAGTATTATATTCAAAGATGTGTCCTTACAATCTTGGACAAATCTCATTCCTGAACATCACTTGAATTAATTTACTGTCAACAACTGCACCCGGTTGGCGATGATTTTAAGACTGGTATGTGTAAATATTTGGTATGAGTTTACTATTTATTACAGAAAATTTACTATTCATTATAGAAAATGAGTTTACTGTTAATATTGGGAAAGTTCATAAACACCTAAGGTCCTAGAGGCTTAAATCTGTTTCTGTCTTAGATGCGATTCAAGAAGTTCCACTTGACAACAGGTCAATCTGTTGTGGGAATTACAGTGCAAAGAGTAAGGTATACCAGACAGTCCTGTAGGACTCCATCACTACAGAGCCTCGTCTAGGAATACTAAGGGGACTTTGGAGGGCTTACGAGAACGCTATCTAGAATCTCGATTTAGAGCAAAGGAATAAACCGTAAACGGAGGCGGAACGAAAAAGCTTGAGGTCTGAATCCCGCGCCAGGCTGGCAAGGCAACCCACCTCAGATTCATAACAGGTTTCAACCTCCTTCTTACTCCTTCCAAGCCCTGGGCAGTCCAGAACTACAGCTCCCACAATACAACGCGGCGAGGCGGGGCTACGGGAACTGCGGCAAGGCCAGTAGGCTCGCGGCGTTTGGGGTTTAATGAATGACAAACTCTGACCTTTCCCGGAGGCGGCTCCCCAACGAAGCCTGGTTTGTTGGGCCTTCCTGAGTCGGGAGGCGGACTATTTCCTCACGGGGCCTGCGAAGACTCCACCCCGCGGCCTCATGGTAGATGGAGTCCCTGATGGGATGGGAGACGTAGTTCCTCCGTCTGCCTCGGACCCGACGGACTACACTTCCCAGGAGGCTGCGGGACGGCCGGGGGCTAGGGGGCGGGGCCTCCCGTCGGTACAGTCATCTCTCTGCTCGTTCGGCGGGACTGATGGCCGGAGAGATGACGATTTTAGGTCTGTATCCCCCGGGTCCCTGCTGCCATGGCAGTCGAAGGGTTGGTTTGAGGAGGTCCGGATGGGCAGAGGGGGTGGTTGTCTCAACTCCTGAACCCGGGTCACGCAGCCGAAGGGAACCTGGAAAGGCGGCGGAGGATGTTTGAGCTGTTGGGGGCGGGGCGCCTGGAGCCGGGGGTCTGGCGGATGGAGGCCTCTTGGGGGTCCTGCCGCCGGCCTCGTCTCTGAGGGACCCGGGCCTAGGAATGAGTTCTTTGCAAAAGACCTCCGTCTTGAATTAGGAGCTGGATTCGGTTCTCTGGAGGCTGCGAGGACCCGTCGTGGGTTGAGAGGCGGGGGTATCTCGAGATGTAGACTCTTTGGGCTGCACTCGGGGGATGCTGAATTGGGAGGGGATTCTGGTCCTTGTGCCGGGTAGCTGGATTCTCTTTCGAACTTAACCGTTTGGGGATTGCATTCCCTTGCTAGTGGTGGTGAAATGCTTTGAAGATTTGTCTGTAGGTTAGAAGAGACAAGCGGGTAGGCTCTTCTTGGTCTGCTATGAGCCAGGCGTTGATTTGAACTGAGCTCCCAATTGCCAGCAGCAAGCACTTACAGACTGACATTCTGGATTCTTAGCATGAGACTGAGTGGGGGAACAGGAGTATAACACAGACTCGTGAAACCGAGTAAGAGATTAATTCCGAATTCAGAGCGATGCCCTTATAGGCGTTGGAGTACAATATGCATGACGTTTGCATTGGATCTTTTGTTTGTTTGTTTGTTAATTGATATTTGCTGAGCCTCTGCTCTTGCCGTGGAACACACAAACTTGTGAACAAACTTGTCTTCAGGAAACTTTCATGTTGTTGCTATCAGGGTTAGCACTTATATACGTCTTCAAATACTACCTCTTTGAGAAGTATGACCTTAATTCATACTTAAATATGCAAAGCATTCAGTGAGCTCTGTTACGAGGTAACAGTAATACCTAAGCAATTTTAAAAATCAGTGCATCCAACTTACTTATTTTATCCTTTTGAATGGGTAAAGATGATAATCAAGAGGTTAACCTTACAATACCATAGCTTTTGCTGTGAGAATTTCATAATGGAATTTCATTTTAGTAATGACAGATAAAACTGTTTATGAAGCTATCGATCTAAATCGCAATAGGTCAAGAAAAGTGGATTGTGGCCAGCTTTTGCTTCATATTTATATTTCCATTCAGCAACAGCCTAATTATTACTGAAATACCTTTTTATTTTATTTCTTTATTCTCATATAATGAAATACACAGAAATACAGTTGTCAGGGCTTTTGATTGTTTTTCTTTTATTTTTAATTATAGCTCATTGAAATATGTACGACTTAATGTCTAAAAAAGTAGTTATTAATCCTATAATGTAAAATATTCTGTTTGCTTCAGGAGTGTTATTAAAAAGATGTTGCTGTAAGAACGGCATATTGTAATAGCTCGATAAAGATGTGTCTTTGACTTGGTCTGTTTTCAGGTTCAGCTGTGTTGACTCTCCTCCTGGCTGGCTACTTGGCACAACAGTATTTACCATTGCCCACTCCAAAAGTGATTGGCATTGACCTGGGTACCACCTACTGTTCTGTTGGTGTGTTTTTTCCTGGGACAGGAAAAGTAAAGGTGATTCCCGATGAAAATGGGCATATCAGCATACCCAGCATGGTATCCTTTACTGATGGCGATGTGCATGTGGGCTATGAGAGCCTGGAGCTGGCAGATTCAAACCCTCAAAACACAATATACGATGCTAAAAGGTTTATAGGGAAGATTTTCACCCCGGAAGAGTTGGAGGCTGAAATTGGCAGATATCCATTTAAGGTATGAATTTAATCTAAACTCTGTGTCAATGTATCATACGATTTCTGTTAATGCTTTGGCTGCACATTGCACATCGTTGTATCTCACCTGGATTTAGCTGTAAGGGAGCTATATTCCCTCACTAAGAAATTTCACAGCAGCTGCAGGGTGAGCAAACTCAGTGACATCCCAGTCAAGGAAATGGGCCCCACTGTGTGCCTGTTCTGCCAGCCTCCTAATAGCCTGTTCTCAAGATGTGTTAGGAAGGATGAGGAACCCTCCTAGGCTGTGAATGGAGATTTTCTATCTATGTACCTATTTGTATACATTTAACATATGTACACTAGTTTTGGCGTTTTCTGGCATTTTTGAAGTGCAACAGTGTGTCATAGACATTAAGTGGATGCACCTCACTATTTTTAATGACTGTAGAACTACTACTTTCTTACATAATTGATCTAACCCATCAGTATCTCTTACATTATCTTACTTTCCTGGTATCATACTAATTTTTGAAGTTCTGTAAGATATATATGTATATAGATGGATAAAGATATAGATATACCTGTGTAAGTCAGAAATTGGCTGCCATGTAGAATTGATGAGTTGGATGTGTGTGTGTGTGTGTGTGTGTGTGTGTGTGTGTGTGTGTGTGTATGTATGTGTGTTTAAAGAATTTTATTCATATTCCTTAATTGTACACCAGAAAGATTACATGCTCTTACCCATTATTTTTTATCAAGTAGGTGGTATGATTTTATTTACTTTTTGAGGTAGGTCTTGCTATATACCCAGGCTGTTGTTGAACCTGAAAGCCTCACCCTCTTGAGACCATAGACCTGTGCCACCATGCCCAGTTTATTTTGTTTGCCAATCCCCAAATGAAAAATGGCGTTTTGGATTAACTGTTATTCCTTTGTTTTCCAGCAAAGTTATATTTAGTGGTGTTTTTTTTTTGTTGTTGTTGTTGTTTGTTTGTTTGTTTGTTTTGTTTTTTTTAAGCAGGATCTCAATTTGTAGATTTGTCTGGCCTAGAACTCACAGAGATCTGCCTGCCTCTGCCTCCTGTATTTTTATTTTATTTAATGATGTGTTTCTTCTGTTTTGTCCTGTTTTGACTTGTTTCATTTTTCTTTATTGACAATAAAATATGTTTTTTACGTGTTGTTTTTTTTTTACTTTATTGTCTTTATGTTGCATAATTTGTTGTTTCTTGTCAAAGTATTAGGCATTCATGAAATCTCAACTTTAGAAGAATGGCCTTGATTCTTAGGGTAATCAATAGGAACTTGCATCCTTTCTATTGGTTCACTGGTTTGATCTTTTTCTTTTTCTTTTCCATCTTAATGCTTTTATGTATTTATTTGTAAGTGGTTTCTCTTTAACATTTAATTTGTTTTTATCTCGTGTGGGACTTTTAATCCAAATTATGAAGTGCTATTCCAGATGAATTAGACTCCCTCGACAGTTGTATCATCACAGCTTACTGAATAAATTCTTGCCTCCTCTGTGGCTTTGCTTCCTATAGTTTTCTTTCCTCTGGTTTTAATTTGCTGTACTCAGTGACGAGGTAAGAATATAAAATACAATATCCCAGAATCACCAGTCTATATATTGTTTAAGAGGAGTGTGATGAACTCTTTCTCTGCTCTTTTTACTGTTACCCAGACTGCGTATCATTCACCTGTTCATTGCATGTTTTGTCTGGCCTTTACTCACTTAGTGGCCATCTGGTTATCAGATGTTGCAATGTTTTTGTTGAGTTGTTTTTTTTTTTTGTTTGTTTTTACCAAGTAATGGCCTCAAGTGCAGTATTAGTGATAACACCTATTTGAATATGTTGTGAAAAGGTTTCCACTGAGGGTCTTGAAACATTCAGCTCCCAATAAAGCAAGTCTCCTGCATGTCAGTCATTCATTCTTCCAATGAGTATGTAGTGAGAGGATTCTAGATTCCTGTTAAATTCTTGACTTTCATTTGGTTATTACTGAAAGCCATAACATGGATTTACTTTATAAACTTTTAAGTATCAACATTCAGTAAACGCTAATCTGGAAAAACGTACTGGATAGATTCTAGTGGATTGTATGACTTCATAAAGGTTTTTGTTGAATAAATCCAGTATGTACATGTGAAAGTAAATGCATGTATGTGTATATATTCATATCTTAACATTCTTGTTTTTCAAATCTTATTCACAGGTTTTACACAAAAATGGAATGGCTGAGTTTTCTGTAACTAGTAATGAAACCATCATCGTTTCTCCAGAATATGTTGGGTCTCGATTATTGCTAAAACTGAAGGAAATGGCAGAGGAATACCTTGGAATGCCAGTTGCCAATGCTGTCATTTCTGTACCAGCAGAATTTGACCTAAAACAGAGAAATTCAACAGTTCAAGCTGCCAACCTTGCCGGTAATAGCACCCTTGACTGATGTGTATTTTTCTCAGGATTTTGTTAGGACAAAAGTATTCTGCAGCAAGAATTACCATTTTGTAAATCAACTGTAGTCACATAAACTACGTGACAGATGAATTAGCTGTCTGTTTATGTACATTTGCAGATAATAATTATAAACTCTGTAGTATAATATTAAATGTTTATATTATGGGGGGAAAGCAGTCTGGGGATGGGGATGTAGCTTTCTGGTAGATTACATTCTAGAGCAGATATGGCCTGGCCAGGGTTCAATCCTCCAGGACACACATATCCTCAAAACAAATTTTAAAAATTAAAAAAAAAAAAACCAAAAATTAAGTTAATGAGGTATATGACAAAGACTGGGAGAAAACATGAGTACTCCTATACTTCTGTTAAAAGATATGATCTCTTTGTTGTTAAGGTGACTATGTTTCCAGACTTTCCAAGATGAAAAGAATGTAATGTGTCT